CTTGTTATCCAGACACATAATGACTTAGGAGTCATCGTTAGCCAAGACTTAAAGACTACTGCACACTGCCGTGCTATGTATGTATGACATGGTATCGTGGTATGAAAGAAATCTGCAAACAGCTGGCTTGTGTTGGCCCTTCACGACTCCCTGGTTGGGGTCCGAGAGATGGTGCAACACAGTGGCTAGAGACGTTATCAGATATGTCTCAGAATAGAAGCCAGTGGCGATCCTGCTGTACTCTTTTACTTTCTTCATAAAAAGTGGTTGCTTCTTCCTTAACTGAAAGATCTCTTCTGATTGTACCTTCTCGTTTCCCCCATTATTATTATTACGCTACCTTACCTTATTCTGTTCGTTATTGTTTTCTTACGCTCCTCACCTTTTTTCTTTCTCCTCATCAAATTACCATTGTTTTGTGTGGCGCATATATATTTGGTGCCCTCTTGTACCAATATTTATGTATTCGAATAAATAACTACGTGCGATAGCCGCCACAGGTTTTAGAACCTTATGGTCAATACATAGGACCTTTAGACATGTCGGCGCTAAAAGGTTTTTGACTTTGTATACAGTGTTCGTACGTCCTAAACTTGAGTACTGCATACAAGCGGCTAGCCCCTGCTTAAAACGGACAGCTTTTGGAAAAGGTTCAGAGAACAACAACTAAGCTGATTCCCAGAATTGCGAAGCTTCCGCATGATTCTCGATTGGTCAAGCTAAACCTATTACCGTTGTCATGTCGTAGAACTAGAGGCGACTTGATTACAGTTTTCAAATTGCTTAGTAATAAATTTGTACTTGATATGCCCTCATTTTTCTTGTCTTCCAAAACAGAGAATTTACGAGGACACTCCTAAAAAGTTCACAAGCCAAGAAAAAATTACTTGTCAGATGACTATCGACTTTCCCATCGAATCATCAACGAGTGGAACTCATTACCTCAGCACGTGGTTGAGGCTCCATCCGTTGACTCTTTCAAAAGACAGTTGGATCAACTGCAGTCTTGCTGAGTAATATCATTGTCCTACTGACAGGTCTGCAGAGCAAGTTGTCGGCAAACTTGGGGAAAGACAGTCAAAAAATGGGTAGAAAAACAAGAAAGCGCATTAAAAACAAGAACAGGGAAGTCGACAGATCTACCAACGACGGAGCATGTAACAGCATTAATGATGACACGCTGAAACTCAGCACCATGATTACGACGACAGTACTCGACCCCATCAGCAAACTTTAGTCTCACAGCTCAAGGTCTTTGAACGTGACAGTGGTTCCCAAAAACTCTGTAGGTGACTGGACCCATGTCAAAAGAGCGAAAAAGAGACAAGCGTAACAGTCTAAGTTGAACATCCCAGCTTTTGAACGGAGGTCAACTGGTGATCTGGTCGCACAGTCTACCCCCAAGATCGTCCGTCCGGTCATCAAAGAGCCAAGGATTCATAAACGTGCTTCGACCCCCAAACAACAAGGTGCTAAACCTGAACGCACCAGAAACCTGGGACGACAATAACGGTTCGTGTTGATACTCTCATAATCATGAACTTCAAAGACAACCCTGACCTTCTTTTCAGTTTGCAGGACAAAAATGATAGGATGCTCTGGGGAGAATTGAACAAGAAACTTGGACTTCCAAGAATAGAGCCTTTGACTGTCACACGGCTCACTCGGGGAAAGGAATCTAAGCATCAAAATCACCCGAGGCTAATTCGTGTAACACTTAAGTATGCTACCGACGTAGAGGATGTCTTACTAGCGAGTCATTTACTGAGGTCAGATGGGAATGTAAGAATACTGATTGACATACCGTATTCTGAGCGCAATCTCATCCGGAACATCCCAAAAGAAACTCGCGATCAGTTTTTCCGCGGGAGGAATATAATCGTGCAAGGTATGCCGGAAAATACGGACCCTACTCAATCAAAGACTGACATCAGGGAATGGAAATTCATCAAACAGTCCTTGAGGCCCCAAAACATACTGACTCAGCATGTGACGAGACTAGCCAACAAGGATGGTGATTCTAGACCCCGTCTAATGAAGATAACCTTTCCATCTTTACATATGGCGGCTGCAACTCTGGAGGCATTTCGTGACAACAGACTTCGACTGCCACCTGGAATCCACATGCACTCGGATAGGCCATACGAAGCTAGGACCAAACACAAAGGTGAGTTGCAGCTGATCATTCCACTTGTGAACTGTCTAGACGATAAAAAACGTGTAAAGGACAGGACCTACCACCTCGGCAAACCTCATATAGGTGGGCTACCTGTCCATTTACGTAGAGCTCATACAGACAAACAGGAAGAAGCTCACGCGTTCCAAATTGAAAGCATAAACTGCTTATATATGAACGTCGCGAGTCTACCAAACAAATTGGATGAATTATGTGAACTTAGCAACGCTAATAAGGCCCATCTGATAGGAATAACTGAAACCTGGATATCTTCTCAGTTCTCGGACCATGAGTTAGAATCACCTGGGGTGTCTTTGTTCCGCAACGGCAGAAAATCAGGAATTGGGGGCGGAGTAGCCGTTTACATACGTTCTTGCTTGGAGGTGCACCAAGTTCATAACCTCGAATTTAACAATCTTGAGGAATCCATATGGTGATCTGTAAGATTGTCAAGTACTTCAAGGTGTCTAGTCGGAGTCATTTACAGGAAGCCAACTGCCGACATCGAGTACGATAGTCATATGCTGGAAGGACTATCCCGCTCTACTCGTCTCGGTTTCACACACATCCTAATTCTAGGGGACTTTTATCTCCCTAGAGTCAACTTCGCGGAACACACGTATACCGGAGGCGACAACTCAATTGAAGCTCGGTTCTTCAACCTCATCGATGACTTGGGGTTGTACGAAAATGTGAGGTCGGCAACTCGTTGGAGAAACAGTCAGACGCCATCGCGCTTAGACTGTGTATTCACAAACGAAGAATTTCTAGTTGACAACCTCTCAATCTTGGCTTCCCTGGGAAGAAGCGATCATGTCGTCATAGCCTTCAGTTTTGTCAGTAAAACTAAGCTAAGATGCCCCACCAATAACTTGCGTTGGAATTTTAAACGTTTGAATGTGATAGCTCTACACGACTATCTACAACGGGTGGTTTGGGATGTTCACCCCCAACTCGATGTGGACGGTCATTGAAACTTCTTACTGCACACTGTAGGTCTTAACGGCCCAATCAACAACGATGGTGACGCCGCTAACCTTTTGGCTGAACATTACTCCCAGACATTTCAACCGGCCGACATTAACTTTACTGATGACAGTTTCGTTTGCGATTCCACAGGACTTTCCGAAGTGAACCTAAGCGTTGACTTGGTGTTCCGGAAACTGCAGCACTTAAGATTAGACACTTCTCCTGGCCCGGACATAGTCCATTCCGCCATATTGAGGGAGGCAGCCTCAATCTTGGCAACGCCGCTTAGCGTGATGTTCTCACACTCGCTAAGTCGAGGAAAACTACCGGAAAATTGGAGGCTGGCTCAGATCACACCAATTTTCAAAGGAGGTCGACGCAGCGAACCTTCAAGTTACCGACCGGTGGCTCTTCTCTCCATATCCTCAAAAATCATGGAGTCCCTGATATGCGATGGTATGAATGACTATTTACTGTCCTTAAATTTTTTCTCACCCCAACAGCATGGTTTCAGGAAGGGTTACTCTTGTATTACCAACCTGCTGACTGCGGTGGACAGATGGACAAGCATCCTTGATCACAAGGGGAAGGTTGATATCATCTACCTAGATTTCTCAAAAGCTTTTGATAAGGTTAACCATACATGTCTTATCAATAAGCTCATACGACTGGATATTAGACCACCTCTAATCGATTGGCTCACTTCATACCTGAAAAATCGACATTTGAAGGTCAGGGTCAATTTCACTTTATCTCAGACTATGGAATGTCCTAGCGGGGTCCCCTAGGGTTCAATACTAGGACCTCTTCTCTTCTTGATCTACATAAATGATCGTTCTCAACAGGTAACGTCAGACGTATTACTTTTTGCCGACGACGTGAAACTTTAGAGAGAGATACGCAACCAAGACGATATACAGGCAATTCAAGAGGATCTGACTCGACTTCAAAGTTGGGCAGACGATAACGGACTTACCTTTAACACTTCAAAGTGTAAAGTAGTCCACATGCGACATGTCGCAGGCTACAGTTATAACTTAGGTACCTCCTCTTTAGTCGTATCTCAAGTCGAAAAAGATTTAGGAGTGCTGGTGCTCTAGGCTAACTGTGACAAAAATGCCTTCCGAGCAAACCTTGTACTAGTAACATTGAAACCCATTTTTGGCCAGTTTGATGGAAGAACTTTCCATACAATCTTCAATAGTTTCATCCGTCCCCATTTAGAGTACGGAAACATAGTACTCCCCCCCCCTCATTCCAAAAGGACAAAGTCACTTTGGAGCGTATCCAACGGCGAGCCACGAAATCAGTTCGAGGACTCAAATCTAAGCCTTACGAAGAACGCCTCCGTTCACTAGACCTTTACCCACTAGAATATAGGCGTCTTAGAGGTGATTTATTAATGGCTTATAGTATTCTTAACACTTCTGGACATCCTCTCAAACACCTACTTAAGCTTAGTTCCAACAATAACCTAAGACGTAACACCCAAAAACTGAAGACACAACATAGCAGAACGAACTGTAGACATAACTTCTACTCCTTAAGAGTTGTCAAAAGCTGGAATTCGCTGCCGGCCGAGCTAGTCCAAGCGACTTCTCAGGAGTCCTTCAAGAGGCAACTTGATCTACTCTTAAGGACCAAGGACAGTATCATACTATGATTTACCAATTTCTTTTCCTGTTTTATTGTTAACATACCTAGGTTCCTGCCTGGAGGATTTGGTGATCCCCTGCTACTAGACACGGAAGCCTGTTAAGCGAAAGCTTCTTCTATTCCGTCAACAACCATTTGAACCATTTGAACAGTGCCTATTGAATAGCGGCAGCTTTAAGGTGTGCGTTACTACACAGGCATGAGAATATACAGGTGTTGGTTTTGTTCGAGTCCAATATACCCTGGTCACGGGATTCTATTTGTCAGAAATGACTGTAAAGTGAGATTCAAATTTTTTCGTCTTTGTGAATCAATTTTTGCGATCAAGCTGCTTGTTACATCTCAATGAATGTACATGGCTAAAACGAGCTATCAGCAAACCTTTAGCAACGTTATATGGGAGATAAATAATCCGCTTTGCAGGCTCTTCAGTTAGAAGCGTTAGCTTCTGTGTCGAATTCAGTGAGATTCAGCAACCTGACCGCTCTGAAGAAGTAGCTTACATCAAGTCACGAAACAGCAGTTATAATTTTTGATTATCGGGTCACCGCTAATTTATCATTTGTTCATCTGTTGCTAGTGAAATAAGTTAAGCACTTAAAGTCTTGATCATAATCAAGTGAGGTGGAAAATGATATACGTTCAATAAGTTGTGCATGTCTCAAATTATATCAATGATATTTGTAAATTGGTGTTAATGAGAATTCAAGGTGATTTATTGTAAGGTACAAACAGAGGAATTTTACTATTATATTAGGGTTACCATTAAGTTCGTACTTACCTATAAGTCGACCAATTTAATAAAGTACTTATTTATGTCCATATAAACATAATAGCAACTGTTGAGAGTTGCAGTTAAACTAAAATGTAACCAAGGATTGTCTTCCTTGTAGTTAGACAAAGACCCTTAAAAGGATTATTAATCTGAACTCAATTTTTAGATCTATCTAGACCTGTGATTTATACCGATTCAAATAAACTAAATTTTTTTTGCTTGTCAAACATAAATCTACATATTATCTCAACTGTAATCAATCGCAGTTCAACTTGTATGAATACTCGATAGCCGCATTTTGCTTAATTTATAGGAACTTCACCCTGTTTGTTTAATCGGTTCTACCTGCTTATCTAAATAATATAGAACGACTTGTTATCACGGACGTTGATAATCTATAGAATAAAAGTTTAGTTTTACTGAAAAGCACAAAAGACAATGCCTTTATGAGTACGTCTAATGACAAATGAATTATGTGGCCTTTTCCATTATAAAACAAAGTATGTTGTCAGCATTAAAGACTCATCCAACGTGAAATTCACCAACCATTCCTGTCATTTTTGAAATAAACCAAGTTATGGCCCTGCTGGTGGATTTAGAGTCATTAATTTTCGATTTCTTTGGTATATGTTTTAAAATTCTTTTGGATAACATTCTGTATGTTCCACGAAGACAAATGCTAGCGCAGGAATGGGTAAACACATTTATTTAACCAGATTCGGTCTTTTATCTAAGTTAGTTTCTTCGAATAGCTCTTGTTTCATAATTCATAATTAACTCCAGAGTAGGAAAGTTCATTATTATAATGGTTTTTAGTTTACACTTATTTCGCACACCGAAATGATCTCGTTTGACCAAAAGTTTGCAAGATGCATCATTTTTAGGGGAACAAGTGGCATATGAACCAATTATTCGTCACCGGCTACCATGAGACTACATCTCCTTACGTTGCTCCACTGTCTTGTGGATCAGACCTTTAGACCGAAGGCTCTGGGTGTATCCCTTTAAGAAAACCACCTGCTTTGGTATGGGAACCCGGGAAGTATTACAGCCCACACATGAATCAAGTAACTTTTGTTGCGCATATGTATTTGGTGCCCCTTTGTACCAATATTTATGTGTTCAAATATATAACATTTAGAACAAATGTTGATCTTAGTACTTTTAATATGGGTGTATTACAGACAAAAAATACGATTTTTCAAGGATAAAACATAACAATGCAATTTTTGTATTGTTAAACGTCGGGACAATCGTGTATTTGGTAGTTCGAATTTTCCATTTTAATGTAGAATGATCCATCGAGTATATGCGTATTTTAGACGATTTTCCAGATATTCTACGATTATTTCCAAATTGATGTCACTATTATTCCATTCCTAATAAAATGCTGTTATTGACGTTTAATAGCTTTCGTAATTATGAATGTTAGCATGAAAATATATTAGAAATGGTTAACATAATTCAAACAGTCTGTATGATCAAATAATTCGTACTTACTGATAGATATGGACTGATTCCTTAGAATAGGCATGTTGAGAATTCGTTGAAATGATATCCAACACCGAAAAGTTACCTTTATCTAGACCTCACTTCCGTAGAACTTCATATTAATTATCAAGCAGGTTGACTAATTTCTCAGCCTCCCTGTTCCAAATAGATGTATGAATGGGTTAATAAGAGTATCACACAACTGGATTAAAAAATTACCGTGCTTGCTGAAAGTAGACTGTTCGTTGAGTCTACATTTTTAAGTGGTCGTAGAGGCAGTGAAATGATAACTCGAGCCAATTTCACACCCGTAAAAATTTTGTTCTACATTTTATTGCTCACCCTTGTTGGTGTACGCCTTTTTTGATCGTACCCTTTTCCACTCGTCTTTTTGCTTGGACGCTTATGAATAAATACAGATTCTCTATATTCATTACCTTGAGCCTCGATAGGTTATTGTAAGACATATTTATACACTGTTGTACATGTTCTGAAGTCTTTGTCTTATCTAAGAGAAATGACAAATGAAGGTTTGTTTTTATCGTAAATACAAGTTTAATAATACCTAGTGATTGATGAAATGTGGAATAAGTTTCCAACAAAAAAATTTGAGACAGATCATAATATAAACTAATTAGAAACGAAGATATAATGTTTCTCAGTTACATTAAAATAATATTTTACAATTATATTGTGGACAGAGACAAAGCAATGATGAGACACCTTAATTTATAGTGATTAACCAAATTATCCTTCCAAGTAGTTTAACAAATAAATTTGAGGTCTCTCGTCATAACAAATACTTTTCTGTTATATATACATAAATTTCTCTAAAGGACCCGAATTCCAAATCTATTTCATATGAATGACCTCTTAACCCCTTTAGTATAAATCAGGTTTTCGGAGTTATTTTGGTTTCCATACATTAGCATTTAACTTTCGTATTACTTGCTCATCATTCATCTAGGAATTCCGTTTCTGTAGAGGAAAGTGTCATAAAGCGTTTAAAAAGCATAAAAATCCTCGCAAAGTAAGATGGACTAAAGTTTCCAGAAGAGTTCGCGGGAAAGAACTAACTGATGACCTTTCCCAAACATTTGAGAGGAAGCGAAATTCATTACTGAAGTATGAACGAGCAGCAGTTCAAAAAATCGGTACATATCATAAGCTAATTTGATAAAATCTTTTCCAGTTGATGCTGTTCCAAAAATTGATCAGATCAAGCATAAACGAGAATCCGCATTTATCAAAAAACGACTTTCGAAAGGAGTACAGTTGCGTAGAGAAGAAGATATTAAACTTGTTAACACACAAATGCATCTTATTGAAGCCCCAGGAGGTAGATTTGGGAGTTTAATCAATAATGATTTAAAATCCTATTTTATAGCCAAAAGAAAACGTGAACTAATGGATATTGATTCTGAAACAGATTTGTCAGAAGAGGAAACAATGGACCTGTCATTTACTGAACTCGAGGAGACAAGTAAAAGAAAAGCAGTTGATAAGTCAAAAACTCGTGGCAAGAAACAAAAAATCGCTTTGGAAGCTAGCTGATTGAAATATATTGATTTTGTACTTATTTGAATTACTATTATATCTTTCATCTTACTGAAGTATGAACTTCCCCGTTTCTAGCTTGTCACTTATGGGTGGTAAATTATAGTTTCTAAGAATTTCTTCATCACTCTTTCATCTGTCATCGTTCACTGAATATCAGTTTAAGTGATTTTTGTTCAACGAAAATAGAAAGTCAAAATTTAGGATAGACAGTTCCTACTCCTTGTGTTTGTTCTCTCGAGATGTCGTAAGTACCAAGCTGTGCGCTGTTTACAGAATGAACGACATTTGTTTAGAGGAATACATTAGGTTCTTATTTATGGTTCTGTAAGTACCACTGGCCTTTGATTACTGGTATTTGCTGTGCCTATGTTTACTGCTAAAAGAAGCACAGCAAGTTTGTCTCATTTAACACTGAAATTCCAACTTCAAATGGTTGTTGTAGATAGTTATCATTTGACCTGATAGTGTACAGTGGTGTCCGTGGAATATATAAATATTCATTTTCGTTCTATTCCACTACAGAGATGCTGTTTAAAGTATTTATCTCTACCCTTTGTTCCTCAGTGATTCCTTTTTTAATCCGATAACTTTCTAATTAAAGAAATTGATATTAAATCACGAATCAATCTAAGTTATACCACCCTTGAAAACCTGAAAGTAATGGGAGGCCGTTTAGTCCCAGTATGGCACTCATCAACACGGATCCATGATCCTGTGCACGAGACTCGAAATTGGGACGTCTGGTCTCGCGTGTGGACTCATGAGCTCAAGACCGTTGAACCGGCATCCAATGGTGTAAGTGCCTGACTCCAATCAATCCATGGTTTTGTGCAGTCCTTCATCGATCGCCTGATGTGGATACGGTGGACACGGGTTGAACTTCATCGGTCACGGCACCTCACTAGGACTCCAGAAGTTTCATCTCAAAGCTAGTCACTAGTGAGCACAAATTCTCCATATTAATATCAAATCTCTTGTTGGTATCCAAGAATTACCCTACATTATGTGTTGGAAACTCTAACATATCCAAATAATTCTAGTCTTACAGTTGATTGCTTGCCGAAATCTGTTGACTTATGCAACATATAATGTCAATATTCAACAACTACAGATACCACTTGATAATAGGTAGGTATAAATGAGAAATAAAATTTCTTTTTTGATATGTGGTGTATCTCATAGTCCTATTTTATATCTACCCCGACCGCTGTTGCTACCTCGACGTGGTGGTCGGGCACACCTCGCCTTATCCCACGGATATCCGTCTCCGATGGTAAGGTATCAACAAGTACGGGGCTAACAAAAAAATTACCCATAAAAAGGTCGTGTGTGACCGACCTCAAACAGTCGTCTCTTGGGTACTGCGGTCACGCTCCCAGGTCACTAAGACCACCTCTAATCCAATTTCCTTTTCAGGTACCTCCAGAACAACCCTTCCACGGTGTGGGCAACCGGGAAGTGATAACCGCCCTCATACCTCTAACAGCACTCAAGACCACTGTATTCATAATCAACCTCCGTCTTCACTTCCTATTATTCCTCCTACATCGACTTTCACCTCTTAACTTCCTTTTTCGGCTTCCCCCTCAAGTGTCACCATAGCCAACGATTCTAGTGCTCAAAACACTGTTCCAGGTCTACTGAAACCTCGCTCCAAACTACACATTGGAGCCTTCAACGTACGCACCCTATGTCAAATCGGTCAACAGGCTTCCTTGGCTAGAACCCTAGAATCTCGTACCATTGATGTATGCTGTGTCTCTGAAACACGCATACAGGATCCCAGTGTGGTCATTCACTTGACCTCATCTCAGCAAAACGGAGAGCCAACGAGATACACCCCACGTGTATCTGGTGACCTGACGGCCAGCTCTCGTGGACTGGCAGGAGTAGGCATAGCAGTAAGCATGAGGGCGGAACAAGCACTGTTAGAGTGGATCCCCGTTAACAGTCGTTTATGTGCTGTTCGGCTAAACGGCTCCGTAAGAACTCGGAAGGATAGGAACACACGTCGTTGTCTTTTCGACATTCCTGCCTACGCTCCCACCGACTGCAGCTCAGATGGAGTGAAAGATGAATTTTACAGAAAGCTATCTGAACTTCTTCAGAAAGCTAAACGTTCAGACATAGTACTCGTAGCAGGTGACTTTAATGCCCAGATAAGTAGTTTAAACCAAACGGAAAGGCATTTAGGTGGTGATCGTCTGCTGCAACTGTGCTCAAACAATCGTTTATTTTTAGAGAACACAAATTTTAAGCATAAGGAGAGACATCGTCTAACATGGCGACCCCCTACACCAAACCAACGATGGACTCAAATAGACCATATTGCCATCAGTCATCGTTGGAGAGGGTCGGTAGAAGATTGTCGCTCATTCTGGTTTACCTGCTTGGACTCCGAACATGCCCTAATACGGGCACGCATCCGCTTGCGCCTCACTGGACGCGAAAAATTCACACTTAACAGACTAATTAGAACTGGATTGAGCAACGAGAAAACCAAAAGTAGGTTCCAGGAACAACAAGTCACAATTAGGTAGTTCTAAACACGAGGTTGACCCAGATGTTGCTTGGAAAGCTATACAAACAGCTGTGGAAACAGCATTGACATCTGTTAGTGATTTAAACCTTAGGGTTACAAAGAACCAATGGATTTCCTCATTGTCTATTGCACTGATGGATTCTCGTGAACTCATCCCATCAGGCTCTGAACATGATGAAGAACGAAAACAAATCAGATCTAGGTTAACCAAAAGTCTAAGGAACGATCGCGAGCAGTGGTGGGCAACGAAAGCAAAAGAGATGGAAATGGCGGCGGCTATAGGGAACACAAGACAGCTCTACAGACTAAGAAAAGAAACTGGAATCAATAAGTCAAGTGTAAGTCAGACTACTTCATCTGCTCCCAGTCCAGACGTTTAGAACGATGGGCGGAACAGTTCAGCTGGCCTTCAGCTACTCTACAACTACCCTCCATTCCCAGACAGTGTGAATGGGACAATCACTTATCGTCCCAATATATAAGAGGGGATTAAAATCATCCTGTGACAACCATGGAGGGATTAGTTTAATTAATATAGTATCTAAAATGCTAGCCTCGATAATTATCAGACGCCTTACTAAGACTCGTGAACTGCAAACACGAGAGAATCAAGCTGGCTTCAGACCTGGTCGTGGCTGCATCAACCACATATTCACCATTCGTCAGGTTCTAGAACATGGGTATACTTATTGGCGTCCGACAATGGTGGTCCTTCTTGACTTAAAGGCAGCATTTGACTCGGTAGACCGCGAGATTCTGTGGTAGTGTCTGTCATTGAAAGGCGTACCTCAGAAGTACATAAACCTTGTGAAGGCTCTTTACTCGAACACTACTAGTCGAGTCAGAGCTTACGGCGAACTGTCACCTGATTTTGCAACCTCAAGTGGTGTCCGTCAAGGCTGTCCACTTTCTCCATTTTTGTTTAACTTCATCATAGACCTATTGATGGAAATAACATTCTCGTCGACTGAATTCTCGGGTATTGATCTCCTTACAGGAGGTCCACTTATCGACCTAGAATGCGCAGATGATATAGTCCTGTTTGGTGAAGACGCTGATAAAATACAGAGTCTTTTGGTAGCACTAAACAACAATGCCAGAATGTTTGGAATGCGCTTCTGTCCCTCTAAATGCAAGTTGTTGCTTCAGGACTGGTCTGCGTCAACACCTGAACTAAGGATAGGAAGTGAAGTAGTCGAACGCGTTGACAACTTCACTTATCTTGGAAGTCTGATCAGCACTAATGGGTTGATGTCTGACAAAATCTCAGCACGGATTCGAAAAGCTCGTTTGGCATTTACCAACTTACGTCACCTATGGCGAAGATGAGATATCCTCTATCAATTAAGGGACGAGTATACTGCGCGGCAGTCCGTTCTGTTTTAGTTTACGGCTGCGAAACATGGTCATTAAGAGTAGAAGACACTCGTAAGCTACTAGTATTTGACCACAGATGCCTCAGAAATATTGCTGGCGTCTGCTGGGATCATCGGGTAAGTAATAATAAGGGTAGACGCAGGGTATTAGGAAATAATGGTAAATCAGTTGATGAGGTTGTAAATCTTCACCAACCTAGATGGTTGGCCACGTGTTACGTATGCCTGAACACCGATTACCACGACGTGCAATGCTAACCGGTGTTCGGGATTGTTGGAAGAAAGTTAGGAGCGGCCAAACCAAAACGTGGCATCAGTGCTTGAAGTCACTAACTTCTAGTCTTAGCCATGTTGGTAGATGCAGACTACTTGGTTGGGGTCCGCGTGACTTTCGTAACCAATGGTTGGAGACTCTTGGTGACATGGCTCAGAATCGATCACAATGGCGTCGGTGTATACACTCCCTGTCTTCCCTTAAACTAAGAGATTAAAATCACTTCATATCTTTCTTTCTACGAACTAATTCTTTCTTCGAGTACTATATCCTTATTGCAATCGTTCTTTTATATATTGCCACCTCTGAATTAACTACTTTTATGAATCCGGTATCCATCTTATTATGTTAATGAGGTATGGCAACTTGGACCGGTGCATATATGTGTCTGGTCCTATGTTGTAGCTGACTGACTGACTGACTGAATCTATATCTACACATGTTTTAAGTCACTAGTTGTTTACCTCAACTTACCGTGTTTGTTGAACCAGGAATATATAACGGATAAAGCTCTAAGGTGATGAGTTTAAAATTTGGTGCTTATATGTAGGACCAGTAGTTACACAAAGTTCCAAAATCAAGTCAAGGCTGTTGGAAATTACCACTTACTATCCATATACAACATAGTTCACAACAAGGGAAATTTACCTATTTTATTTTATAGATCTGTACATTATTTATGTTTTTAGGCTGTTTAGATTCTAGTTCAGATAGGCTAATAAATTCACTATTTGTATGTTACGCATTTCTGGCGACTACTCACATTGATTTACTGCAGAAGCTGGGAAAAAGTGACTGTGACCTGTGGTTGGGAATTGAGGTGTATAACTGAAGAATTACTCGTTTCATTATGAATGAAATTATCCTTCATCTTAGAAATTTCAGTACTCTGTGCTTTCTATTCTGTTTGCACTTCTAATTGCTTTTAGTGTTGCTGTTTCCATTACTGTAATTTTCGTGTTTGTTTCCTCTTGTAGTGCTGATGTAGGTTTTTGCAAACTGGATGGACACAGTTGCGCTAGGTCCAGTAGTTTGAGTGGTTTATTTACTCAAGTTGGGAACTCGAGTTTGCGCCATCGTTCATTCTGTTTTATCAACTTACGACTGACAATAAGACTAAGACGAATAAATACTGAGTAAAGTTTCCGACCTCTTTTACGAGTGGTGCGAGTTGGATGAGTATTAAAATCAGAACATTACATTGATGACTAACAGACAACTATTTGTGTTCGACATAGTTTTCTATGTTTTCGTTTTTTAGCAATTCAGTAATTATTCGTACTGATAATATATCTATGCATTCGTCTCTCTCATAGAGATCCATTTAACACTCCGACTACATTGTAAAAATAATTCAGACCTTTTTTAAAAAGTGAGATACACTACTGTCTGAGATATTCATTCGTACTTTTGTGCAATAACCAAATTAGTAACACACTTCAGCAGTATTTATTAAAATTTGATCTCTGTTTTCCCATAATCTGGTTTTTAAATGATACCAATTTTGTTAGTTGGAAGTTTAAATTTACTTTTAAACGGAAAACAACTGAGTGTACATTTGGTGAGGAGAAAACTATTGGACTAATAACAATCTTGTAATCTGAATTTATGAGTTTATAGGTGTGGTACAGGAACGAAAGGATATACACTTTAAAATTATATAGCCCACCTGAGAAATAACTGATCATTTAAAATCGCACCAACAAATACTTATAGATTCATTTAATTAATCGGAAGCATGAATAAAGTTAATCAAATGGTTATTGGCAAAATAATTGGAGTATTTCACAAAGTATGTGAGTAAAGAATAAAGTAAATGATGTTGATAGTCTCTAAAATGACAAAAAATAAGTGTTTATGTAGTTATTCAATCACAACATTTGAATGGAAATTATAAAATAGACAAGAAAAGTTAAAATTACAATCATTTCCTCTGGTATAAAGGTAGCCTTATATGATGGATTCTCTATAATTTCTACAATTTAAAAGTTACAATACATGCTCATGTGATTAATTTGTAGATGCTTTTTCTGCTCTGGAGAAAAATGTATAATAAAAGGAAGATAGAGAAATGAGTGCAATATTATTATTGTCTTTATGGTTGTTACTTTTATCTGACTTACAATAAGGTAAACGAATAACATATGAAATATATATATATATATATATATATATATATATATATCGGTTCTTATTCATCACTATTTTGAAATAGTTCTTCTTGCATTAATTTCTCATCAACTTTTCGCGAATACACCACCGGTCCCATTCAAATTTGATTTCTATTGTCATAAAAAGAAAGAATCTAATGAATTAAGGAGTTAAACTAGTTTCGATTATGCAATATTCTATATTTTGGAAATCTTGAGTGACACAACTTAGATACATTCACTCTTAGTTTTTCTAAAATTGTCTTATACATTTTCTATTCCATTTATTCATTCTTTCATATAGAATTGTGTCGTCTATACCTAAACTTTTCCACTACTAGTAGTTGAATGCATTTCCGTATTACTTTCCAATATATTTTAATTATTAATTCGTCCTTTCAAGCTTAGCGCAGTTTTCAAAAGCACATTTTCAACTACTATATGAGGAAGTCCAACGCACTTGTTTTTTGCAATTCAGTATCATTCGGATGATCACTTACAGCTATTTGAAACGTTATACCTCCAAACACGATTTATTAGGAAGAAATACAACGTAAGATCATATATTGGTGTAGTATGTTCTTCGTTCATTTGATTTGCAGTCAAATTTCGATTGTATTAATTAATTCAGTGTACTTTGTTCAGTATAACATCCAACTGTATCAGCTCTATGTAACAATCTCTTTTCATATGATGTGCATAAATGAATGAATTCGAATGGCTTATAATCTCTAACCATTGACAGTAAATATTTTAGAATATCCAGGACTAGTAATAAAAGAGAGCTGTAGTATCCTAATGTCGAAGCATAGGATTTATCGCCGTTAGTATAAAACATATCAATAACTTAACAATGCAAGGTTATACAGGTAAACATTCTAAATAACTATATTGTTCAGCCTTATTACTAAGAAATATTACTATTGCTGTAAGTGTTAAGCGACATGCACGTGTGAAAAATATAACTTACTACACCCTGATTACTATCATCCGACAGTTTTCTCTTCATTTCTACGGGATTTTTATGCCCCGTTTTGGGCATGAAATTTGGTGCGGCACTCATCGCGCGTAATCTATCCGTTGACATCGGCTTAGCAACTTTACGAAGAATTGGTTTTTGACTTGATGTATTAAATAGAAATTTATTATTTAGTAAATTAGTGAGAAGAAATAGAAATAAGAGAGGAAAATAATAGCTAGCTACTAATTTGTATTGAAAACGGTAATTGATGAGAACAGATAAATAAAATTACGTGTTACTATGTAGCGAGATAACCTGATTTATTAAGTAAGCATTGAAAATTTATTTACGTTGGAAGACCAAAATTTAGTGCGCTGTACCTATGGTTTACGTTTTAAGCCTTTACTGATATACTTTTAAAAAGACTAATGAATTATCCAGCTGATATCAGTTCTTGATAATTATTGTCTTCAAACTATACAAAATCTTTACAAATCTAACTGAATTATTTTTAATCTTGTACTTACTATCAACTAGCTTCATGGAACGTTTGAAGTCTTAGTAAAAACACCTAGTCTGTAGAGTCATCAACGAAGTTGGAGAATAATAGGGTTCAATAAGGATATTAGTATATCACAAATTGATTGAAATTAGCAATCTAGATCGTTGGCTACCGGTTTATTAGTTCTTGAGTCATTCTTTTCTCTATAAACCCCCCCAAAATAGCTCACTTATTTTTTCTTCGTGAGTACATGATGCGATAAAAATTACGGAGTTCTTCAGTAGCTTGTGGTTCTCAGTGGTCCTCCAACTAATTTCAGTTTTCAGTAGTGACTATCTCCGAGTACTAGTGTTGTTAATGAAGCACAATTAATATTATCCGGTTCGGAATACACTTAATGTTAACAAAGATCCTAGAGTCACTGCTGGTCCCAAACCTGGGTAAAGGAGGAGGGTCGGGCATAGGGTTAACAAACCCATCCCATAGAAAAAAACGCTACCCAGAATAAATGATTTAAATTCTGCTGTGAGAGTTAAAGGATCTTCATTTAGAAGAATTATGATGCCTTATGGTGGATACTGAGGTTCTTTGGAAGCCACAAGGCCTATGCTCTTTCTAACAACCAGAGCAACAATTAACATAGGTACATGAAATATCCGGATAATGTGGTAGACCGGGAGGACCAGTCGAATAGCTATGGAAATAAGGAGATACAACTAGGTGGTTATCAGAACACGTGAAACAAATTAAATCCAAGCTGGACAGAAAAAAAATTAGCATCGGAGGAGTTGGCGTTGCACTCTGCTCATGACAAATGCTTCATACACAGAAGGAGTTGCACTGGTGCTTCTCCAAAAAGCACTTATAGGATGGGAACCTCATGCAGAGAAAGCCAAGGAAAGACCGAATACACAGAGGCACAAGCCGACATGCAGAAATGCTTAGAAGATCTAACAATGACGGCGGAAAAAAAACTGCAAGAGAAGGAAATGTGGAGCAGCTACATGATACTACGAATAAACTAGAAAGGAAATATGGTAAACCAGAGCAACTAGTTAAGAGAAAACAAGGCGATTCAATCACTGGGATTCATGAACAGCGGAAAAGGTGTGTAGAGCACTATGAAGAACACTTGAATAGACCAACCCAACTGAACATACCGGACATCGATGCAGCACGCACAAACCTCCCTATGAATGTCGCTTCACCAACGATAAAAAAATTAGCATGGCCATCAGACGAGTCAAGAGTGGGAAAGCAGCAGGACCTAACAACATAGTCGGAGCACTGAAGTCAGATATAGAAGAAACTGCAAACATGCTCCAAATTTTATTTAGGAAGATTTGTGGAGAAGAACAAGTGCCGATAGGCTGGAAAGAAGGATATATCACTAAGATACCAAAGAAAAGAGATATGAGCGAATGTGAAGACTACAGAGGCAACACACTACTATCAGTGCTAGGAAAATTTTTCATCAGAGTGTTACCGAACCCGATGAAAGATTCAGTAGCTTCGAGATCAACAGTCCGGATCCCGTAAGGATCGGCCGATTCGGACTTCGCAGATAACGTAGCTCTTTTGTCCTATACATAGCAACAAATGCAAATGGAGATAGACGTGTAGCTGCAGTAGGCCTCAACATACACAAGGGAGAAATGAGATCCTCAAATACAACAAGAAGAACACCAACCCAATCACACTTGATGTAGAAACTATGGAAGAGGTGGAAAGTTCCATGTATCTGGGTGGCATCGATGAACGTGGAGGATCCGATGCAGACGTAAAGGAGAGAATTGGCATAGCAAAGACAGCGTTTCTACAGTTGAAGAAGAAATAGAACTCAAACCAACTATCGACTGATATCTAAGTGGAAATCTTCAATACTATTATCGAAAAGATAAAAGTATTTACAAACAATTGTCTACGTAAGATACTGAATGTCCATTGTCTGGATACCATCAGCAACAGCCTACTATGGGAGATAAAAAAACTATCTTTCAGCTAAGGAGGTAACTAAGAAAAGACGATGGAAGTGGATAGGACATGCACTGCGGAAATCATCCGACTGCATCATAATGCAAACGCTAAATTGGAATCCCGAAGGGAAACGAAAAAGAGGAAGATCAAGGAATACACTGCGTTGGAATTGGAAGCAGACATCAAAAGAATAAATAGCAACTGAAAAGAATTGCCGAGGACAGTTGGGTGGAGAATGCTGGTGGGTGGTGCACTTTAATGTAATCAATCGTGTTTTCAATATGTACTAGGTAGGAATAAATTCTTATTTACTCAAATTGTAATTCAGCAACTTCCCTGGAAATTTACCTGATACTCTGTATATTTGGAAATTATTATTAACCAAATATTTACTTACAAGTGTCCTTTAATTGAGCATAACTGAGCTGTCAATTCGTTAATCTGCATAAATAAGAAAAGGAAAGCCATTTGAGTAACTTGATTTCTTAATTTTATACACTAATTTATATGAGGAATCATTATAACGTTTTTAAGTAATGCTGAATTTTTAGGTTCATTCTGAAAGTGATTTTCTTAAAAATCATAATAATTTATAGTACTACACTCTTGTGATGTAAGTATTATCAATTCAACTACGACTGAGCATAATGCAATTCATTCTGCTTTCCCATTCAAATTATCCGATTTAAATGAGCTTTCCACTCGGTCGATAAACACTCTTATTCATTGTAATTTAGATATAAACAACATCAATTTTTGAAAATCCCATTCCATTTGAACTGGAAGCTTTTAAAGAGCCTACCTTCTCGTACTGAAACGTTCTTATGAAAATGTGATTAACTGTTTTAGAATCAATCGATAAAATCTGTAGAGTATGTTTCTTTTTTTCTACTCTGTCATTTTAATATGACTAACTTCAGCATCTCGTTATTATCATTCCCATCAAGTTAGTCTGTACCGATTGGAGCATAACTGTCTTCATAGAAATATTTTTCAAGACGTAAAATTTCTTTTTGGTTTACATGATTATAAATTCATCAGATATCATGTAGAATATTTAATGAATATGGATTTAAGTATACGATCAATCCATTTTTAAACGTGCCATTTGCTTTATAGGTATGGATATGAATCCCTCTCATGATTATTCAAAGACTATTAGTCTGCAAAGTCATCAACGAGTATTTTTCCGCCTCTCAGTATATCTTTCTTAAAATCTACGTTAGATACTTGGGACCACTCATTGGTAAGTTGTGGACACAGTTTTCACACAGTTTCTATTCGTCAGTAAATTCATCGAAGGATTCGATAATATACCGGATGATGTCAAATCACAATGGAAGGTATCCACAAAATGCTCTGGTTTGTATGATCTTGATCTCCCTTGGAAAAGTTAAACCGCTCACTTTGATATACATACATATATAATATACTTTTGAAAAAGACTTAAAATCCCATCCATTGACTTACTTCTTCATCCTGTTTGCGTAATCTTTGTTCCCATTCGTATTTTTGTGATTCCAATTGTTTAACGTGTTCGTACCACGACTTCACCTTTTGTTCAAGTTGCACTTAATGTGAAAAAATATATTCACATATTCAGTTGTACGTTGGTGAATTCAGTAGAAGAGATATTTAAGTGGATTATTATATGTTTTAGTTCACTAAATTTCTGATAAAATAAGATCGTGGTAACTTTGGTAAGCTTTTATTGAAGGTTAATATCGTCTAGATAACCACTGGATAACTTGAAAGCTTCTTAGTCGGACGTGGTTCATAAGGAATTTACAACTTAAAAGTCTTTTAAGCTTCAAATATAACTCTTTGGAGAATAGTTTATGCAAGATGGAGCCTACATATGTAAAATCTTTTGACTTAAGAAGCAATCCATTTTCTTGTTTGTCTAATCAACGTTAGCGAACACTTTGAACAGAAACCCTAATAGAAATTCAACTATATGGAGTGTGAGAAAGATACTCACTCAAGACAATGGAAGCTAGTTGCACAATATCGCGAATTAGTTGAAAACTAAGCTTTTGCACCACTGGACCTCGGATCAGTGGTCTAGAGGTCCTGTGTTTAGTCTCTATAGATGGGGTCATGTGTTTGCGCTTCTTGGTAGTCATATACTGGAACGAAACAGCTATTCAGTGCTTCCAGATTACCAATGGTAATAAAACTTAGTTTAATTCTGCATCTCAATAATATGTAAAGGCCTACATAATCCCATACTGATAGCACAAATATATATCTATACGGGCCATTGCCTTTTATATCACCACTACAAGAAGTGAAATTAGAGGAACGTATAAGTGTGCAAACAACAACAGTAAAAGTGATCAGGAAATAAGGAGAAAAATGTGGAAAGCAGACAATGATAAAAGGAGTCATTAAGGATGGTTTCATCTATGATACTGAAATAATTCTTGAGTTATGTAGGAATTTTAATCCTCAGATCACATTTACTTTGATAATTTGGATTGGGAAACTTAAATTTTTCCTCATGGTTGATACCAATCAGGAACATAAATAATCGGTTCCGTATCTTACGCTGCTCACGTGTTGTTTTTCTCCAACCTTTTTAATAAAAATTTAACTTTTAGAACTAGGGTGGTGAGTGAATGAGGATATTTAACTCATGTCAGTCGATGTAATCCACAACCTCATCAGTCTTTTAGCCACTTCCACACTGTTCTACACCTGATATTATTGCTACCACTCGCTTGGATTTGTGATTTGATAAATATTGCAAATACACGTTCAGTAACTATGGGTTCTCCGGCAGAAGTTGATAGCATTAGTACATGATATGTTCTCTTTCAGCGTTTCCTATTCTGGATAAATCAACTTCCTTGTATAGTTTTAAGTAGAAATCTAAATTAGTACTCTCCATGTCACACTTCAGATAATTATTAGATGGACTAGTAATTTACGTGCTCTGCTTTCTGTATCATTAGAGCTCCGATTTTTCCATTCGTTACTTAGAAATTTGGTGTGATTCGATCGTGATGGTATACTGAAAGTAGTTTAACAGCTTTTTCAGTCATTCATTAACTACCTTACAAAATAAGAAATTAAATTTTGTATCTGTTATTTTGTTTAAGCCCTCTTTTAACACTACATCATCAACAATCAAGGCTTGTGGTTCATACATTAGACAAGACTGATTGGTAACTCACAAGCCCCTTTTCAAATTCAACCAACATCTTCCTCTTAATCAAACTTAATTTCTGAAGTCTAATTATAACTTTCATTTTGTTCAAATTAAAGTAATCATATTTCTGACTACATTAAATAACCGTAATGTTACTTGAAAAACTTTCTCACTCTGATTTAAACCATCAATGTCGAATGGAGGAGCTTGTTTCTTGATGTGATCTTCACGGTTACGAAGTTCTTTTCTTCTTTCTTCAAGAAGTTCATTTTTTGCTTTTTGCAAGATCATTTCCTTAAAAATAAACAAAAAAGTATTTAAAACTAAGAGATTTGAACGGCGAAAATTTTCTTTTCAATGAAATTATTTACTTAAGCAATACATTTCACTGAATTCTCTCTATATTTATTCAGTGGCAAAAGTAAAGTCAATTGGGATGATTATTAATAAAGCGGATGTATTTTTGATAAGTAATGTGTTTCAACTATTTTATACTATCTATACATTTCCTCAATTTATATTTCATTACGATTTCCAGATTATCTCTTTTATCTAATGAACAAAAAATCATAGAAAACAAATTTCTCTATTGCAAATCTGAATTGGGTAGTTGCTTAAATCTCCAAAATGTAATGATTATATTATGAAATTATTCGGATGAATCTGAAATATTGTTGTTAAGTTAAATAAATGAATAAATAATTTTACTCTTTTAAAGTGATTTCATAAACTCATATGGTAAAAATAATGACATCAAGATTTGGAAATAGGATTCTTTGTAACAGAAGAGGAACATGAAAAGAGAAATAAAAGCAAAAGCAGTCTAAGTAGCAACAGGAACTTATGAACTATGGAGCTTGTAAGCGGCAATTCATTGAAGATGTGCAAATGGTGTATTGAATGTATTGTTTTCATATTTTACAAATATAGTGTGTACTCTTGCTTAATAAACCAAATTGGTTTATTCTACCTATGTCTTCGTTCATTACATTGAAATTAATTACTGATACGAATTCTCGTGATGACATTTTGATTTGAACTTATTCTTTTGACTATCTCAAAAATGCTATTTTCACTTTCTCAAAGACACATAGCTACATTCAAATCTATTACAAACTGTTGGGGTGACCCAGAAATTGCTTGCAAAAGACAAGCAAGCATCAAGAAACACTAAGAAGTGTTCACTTGGAGTCTTGGCCAGAAATATCAAGGTAGCAAAATGTCACATGCGGGAGCTCTGATTGGTTGGCTACTACAGTGCTACTATGTTTAGTAGCCTTTCAGAATATTCCAGCGACCCAAGGACACTTAAAATATTATAAAAACCCTATATTTTCTGTAATAGAATGAACCTCGGGGTGAAGTATTTCCCCTCATACTTGGGTCTTCTCTCTGGTGTTCAAGTCGCTGTGTAGTTCTAGCTTGCGGGTTACCAGGATAGCTTAGGAAACTAATATAGCGTTCAATCGATAAGACTTATCACAAACTTTGTCGTTGTTTGAAGTCTAATGTTGAAATGATCCTAGTATATATAGTCTCATTTATTTTGTATATGAATATCAGCTACTTTTAATTTGTGTAAGTAGTTCGAAATTTATTACTATTTTATATTGCTTCATTTTCCAGGTAAAAATAAGCGTTGAAACGATTTTTATACATCCATAATAGTAATTTTCTTTAAACTAATTTAACAAAACTTCCTTTTGTTAACTAACCTTCAATTTTTTTCTACGCTCTTTACTTAAACCTCCAAGACCTTGTTTATGATAATTCATTCGTCTTACTTGATTGTTTTTACTGGACTCTTGTTCTTCAGTAACTTTTGACTTGAATCATTGAAAAAGAAAAAAAAGGAAACGATTAAAATCACTTATCTCTTTATCATATTTTTATCATATAGAATTTATATTGTATAGTGTGTAGATTCTTAAATGTAGCGAGAAGAAAAAAAATTCTGTTTTTTGATTTGGAAAATAATGGAGCTGAAAAATTGAACCACAATTTTAAGTAAAGTCAAGTTTTCTTCCTCCAATAGAATTTGATACTGGTAACTATGCTATGTATTCTTTCCAAATTATCTTTTCAATAACCATGGAAAGATGATCTTTATGTTGTTAATTTTTCTTTTCGAAATAAACCTAGTTTATTCTCGTTTATAAATATCACTGTGTTAAATATTATAATAATAAAAGCAGTGATCTATTTGTGATATTCTAATGAAAGGAAATTAAGAGTTCTAACTTGTAACGACATACTTTAAGTCTCTTTTTTCCTAGTTTAAAATAATTATCGGTTACTTTTTGAATAATTGACTCACGTCATAGAACATAAAACATCCTAATTTCTACACACTAGGACATCATCAATTTACCTAATACTTAACTTACTTAAAATCATCAAGTTAAATTTTGATAAGAATAACAATTCGAATTCACTTGGTGTTGTTTTACTTCTATCTTCCCATTGTTATTTAGGACTCCAATTGATTAATCTCATGTTAGCATATGTGTATCCCATGCGGATGCCTCGATAGAGCCTTAAGTCAATTTTTTTAAGCAAAAATGGACAGTAGCTAGAAATAGAATCCAGGACGCGCGTTTCGTCCCATTCGGGACTCATCAGCTTGATGTACCTGTATCCCCGAGTTGATGTACTCTGGCACTCAAACCCAAAATTTTTAGCTTCCAATGACATCAAGTTATCCACTTAGCTACTGAGTCCTGATAGCCACCTGATCAATCGCAGTCTTAAATAACAATGGGAAGATACAAGTCAAACAACACCAAATGAATTTAAACTTCACCCCGCTGCACAAGCAGGTGGCTATAAGGACTTAGCAGCTAAGTGGATAACTTGATGGCATTTGAAGCGAACGGTACTGGGCTCGAGTCCCAGAGCAATCGTCAACTCTGCGATTCAGATACATCCAGCTGACGAGTCCCAAATTGGACGAAACGCGCGTCCTGGATTCCACTGCTAACCACTACCCATATTTGCTTATAATAATTCGACATTAGATTTTCCTTCTCATAAACTGTCAAATATTTATTAAATTATCTTATACAAAGTGTAAGTCATTTGTACACAGGTAAAATGAATAATTTATTTTAATAGCATAAAAAATTTATAAAGGTGTTTATTATAATAAAACGGCAATAAAATTCCGAGTTCAAACAAATCCCTTAAAGATAATCCATGTCTTGTGTATTATTTAACTGGTACTAGTAATAAGTTTTCCTTTTTTTAATGAAAAAAATTAAAGTAAATGATAATTCATACAGAAATTTATAATCCTACATTCAATTGTGATAAAAGATCTGATTATATATTTCTGTATTTTGTTTAACTGGAATGTAAAAATTGATCATTTCATAAAATCTGTATATAAAAGAGCTTAGAAAGTCGGAAATTAATTTCGACATTTTCAATGACATTCAAAAGTTACGCAATACCAATGGATAGTAACCGACTTTAAAAATCTTTCTATTTAGCTGAAATTTGTGTTGATTGATCACTAATAATTAAGGTATTATTTGAAACTATCCATAAAATATTCATTTGACGTAATTAATGTATTGACTGGTTAGATTTGAAAATCTATTCAGATGTTTATTATTGGTTTTTCTAGCTTTCTGTGTAATTTTCCATTTCTTATCTTTGTAATACGACTTCATTGTGACATAATTAGTTCTTTTGGATATAATCTTAATTCTTGAGACCCTTTCATCATTGATTCCAAAGAGTAATGATCAAAGTGAAAGTGCTTATTCTATTGTCTCCAATTATGTGATGCCAGTATCTACAGATTTCTTTTTTGAATTAGTACATTTTTTATATTTACTCACTGGTAGTACGTTCGATTACCTTGTTGACAGAAGCATGCTTTTCTAAAATGTCTCATAATATATCATTTCCATTCAAAATTAGAGATGTGTTCTACTGACCAATTCCAGTAAATACAAAATCTAGTTTTCAATCGTTTCGCGTTGATCACTGTTACTGTCCAGTACATATCATTTTCGTCCTATTTCAGTTAGACTATCTAAACTGTATCAAAAGTATTTTTCTGAGAAAAATGCCATTTAAAGTGGGTTACGTGAATGAATTTACACCTAATAATACGATTAACCTGTATACAGAACTGATCAAAAAATAATACGTTTATCAGAAACAAGTAGTTAACTGAATTCAGAGTCCCTTAGTAGGGAAATATATACTAATTGTAAAGATTGCTATCTCGTTATTATTGAAATATTAAATGAGAATCAATTTTAGAAAAGACATTCATTCAATACTTACATGTCTTTTGGACGCTCTGGCTTTTTTAACCTTTCAGAAAGGAAAAAAGAAAAAAAACTAAATATTTTACAAATTAATGTTTTCCACTTAAAGGGAAAACAAAACAGGTCTATGTGTAAATTATCTGTCTACACTGTTATCAGTAGCACTTTATGAAAGATAACCATATTTTCATTGTCCTTCTTCAGTATCTGTGCTGTATGCAACTCACCTAACAAGTAAATGTATATACGCTCAGCTTCGAACTACACTATTATGGAGACTTATGGTGTCCAGCTTTCTAGGACGAGACAGATGATGGAGGATTTGAACCTTGAATCCACTGGTGGAAGACCGTCGTTCGTTATCTATACTGAAGATTACGATCATGCAAGATATGTATAAACAATGACTTTATAATCGAGTTATTCGTTCACTTAATTTGTATGCTTTTACTTAATAATCTAAATTCTAAATTCAAGTTTACTCATTCACCAGGTGCTTGGGTATGAACCACCTTTTAAATGTGATAACTGATGATACCGATTGGTTGCTCGAACCGGAGTTAGTGGAGTAAGGTTTGTACAAGTGACCTACTATTGGCTGAGAGCTGAACTCCTTAACCAGTAACCTGCCGCCCCATATTTAGGAATCTGACCCAGATATGTATATAATTACTAATAAATCTATAAGAATGATAAATGAATATATGAAAGATCATGGCTTAACTCATAATATAATCAAGTAACATTGGACATTTGATATATTGTTCTACACACAATGTAATTATGACCGATAACTCTGTGAAAGTGTCTCTATTAACGTTTAGATAAATAAGTATGAAATTAGCCATGCTACTTCAAGTGAATGATTGTTTTATCACGTTGGATTCTGCCACTTAATCAGTTAGTAAGCAATAAATTTTACTTACACCAAGATCATGAATAAACTTCGAGTACTTACAATGGTTTCCAAGATACATTTTCAAAGGATAAAATATTTCTTTTTCAAAACATGAAATGAATTAGAAATAATTTTCATTGTGAAATGACGTCATTCTACGAACTATTAAATAATAAAAAGTGGCGGATTGTTGTTTGATCTTCGTTCCAGAGTCTTTGACAATAAACATCGACGAGCCAATGCAGGGTAATCTCCAAAGTTTTTAGATTGCGAGTCAGATATAGTAGAGTAACTTTACTACTAATTTAGAATCCAGTAGTTATCAGTGTTTCCAACTAAAATCGATGTGCAATATGTCATGATCTTGATCCCGCTCTGCACTGTTTCATTAAATAATGACGAAAGAATTATATACTTGTGTAAGCAAATGGTACACTGGTTCATCTTTCACTGATTATGAGAAATATAACCTTGGTTCAATAATCATAATTTCTTATTCAATTAGAAAGCATAAGCAAATTGATGAGAAACAATACAACATATCTTGATTATAATTCGTCAAATGTGAAAACCAATAAAATACATGCTCTTACCTCTTCACGTTCTAATCTTAGTTGTTCTTGATGTTTTTCCATTTCCTAGAGAAATTTCAACAATATTTTAAGAAATTAATATAAATAACAAAATATTAAAACAAATATCTATTCAATGTTACTGTTCATCACATGTATAATCTTAAAATGCTTAAGATTTACACCTCACAATGAGCAGAACGTTTTAATTATATAACAAAACAACATTAAGAAAAATAGAAATCTATCGAGATTCTGATAAGGATTTTTTCGTTCATCACTCCAATCCAAGAGTACAGTTATTCACACGCATCACTACCATAGTTACAACATTATTAATTTCAATAGTTGAAATCATAAGTCAATTGAAGCTAGACCACCATAGAAAACTTGAAAGCACTGGACGATCGTTTCTTCCAAGTATTAGTTATAATAAAATACACCAACATTCATATGATAACATAACAAATACTAAAACAACACATGTTATTAACAATTAGAAAGTAACGAAACCACTATACCTTAAATTCATGAAGAAGTTAATAGACATTTTGCACAAATTGATAGTGTTTTATTTTATTTTTCAAAGACAAGTAAACTTTCCTCTTTAGAATATATAAAAACAATATTTTTTAAATTCAAAACAAATGATATGTTATTTACATACTAAATAGTAAATGGTGCCAAATAAGAAAAAAAAGAGAAAGCAGTATAGAAAGAATATTTTCAACTGTATTTGCATAAACAAATAACCGTTTTAAATGTCAGCTTATAGATTAGTAAACTAATAAAAGGAATAAATAGTTGGTTTTCTTCTTGATTTTTTTTTTCAATAAGATGATCGGACATGGTGTTACATAGAAAAATCTGTAAGTAATGAATGATGTAAATACAAGAAAAATATCTGAAGATTTACGTTTAGAACTAAATCTTTTTAATAAAGAATAATGTACCAAAAACAGTAGATTATGACGAGGAACATTATCGGCTGAAGAATAACTGAAAAAGAAACACTGAATAACTGTTATGTAATAATACTTGATTGCATATTAATTAGCATCAACCAAGGAGTTTTAGATTTCAGTTCAGATATATTACTTTTAGGTTACTGAGGTGGAATTCATTAGTGTTTAGTTCAATGTCCAATCAAACGATACCTATTTGTCACATTCAGCAGATAACTGTCTCATTCCCAACTTGATTATATGTCACGTGTAATTTCTCATTGAACGTTCATGAGATAATTTCAAAGCATGTCACTACTGAGCACATTACTGACTTGATTAATTTGTGGAGGTGAGTTCAATTCAAGTTAGTTTTACGTTATGGACTGATATCTTTAGCAGGGTCATGACAGTAGACGTTTAAGAAGCCTTAAACTATGATAAATTAACTGTACAGTGCCTTTTTTTACCAGTTTTCTAGTTGGCGCAGTTATGTGATATAAGATTTCACCAAACTTAACTTATCTTCATAAACTATTAAACGAAGCAAACGGGTAAGAACTCGTATTCATATATATTCTTACCGAAACCTAACTATTCACAGTTATTATTAATAACCTGTCTTCTTCCAGTTAATTCAGTCAAACACAGTCATTGCTGCATAAAGTATTATATCAAGTTTAATTCTAACTGCTTATTGATTAGTAGTCGACTATACATTGATTCATTAGTGCCGATTAAATACTTTCAACTACAGTGGTCAATATACTAATTGACTCGAGATTTTAATAGATCTTGGCCAAATGACGCATAGCGTCTTGCTAATCGCCTACAACTAACTAATATTTGAGATGGTGGAGAAGATTTGTAGCTTAGGTGGATGATTCTGATGGATTTTTGTTCTCTGAGCTGGATGGTTTGGCCTTGTAGCTTTCATCGTTATGTTGAACGACATCATCACCTGAGGTTTGTGCTGATGCTGTTTTTCATAATAACGATGAAAGCTCCACGACCAAACCATCCAGCTCAAAGGACAAAACTCTACCAAAATCACTACCTCACATCTAACGTACCCACAAATCAGTTTTTACAGCAGCATTTGTTATATGTCTATAATGACAACATAATTTATTTATATTCATCATCGTCTTGCACCTATCTCGCTTTTTACTTTTCACTCGTTTCTCTTCAAATAATTTTGTGTGTAAAAAAGTCTGAATGGTGAATAAAAAACTGTATAAATTTCAGCAAAAAATCTCTAATTTTTTCACACTCAGATCAAGATGCATGACATTTTCTAAAGTTATTCCCTCTTAAACTTTTCAAATTTATTTTACAGAGAAAACAAAACAATGGTAGAACATATATGTTACACAGTGACATGAAGAAAAGGAAAGAAGAACAAATGAAAGTAGTGTTCGGAAAACACAAAACACTGTAAGTAGTATTTGTTAAATATTATCAGCATACATAAACACCGATTGACAGAAAACATTACTACATTGTACGCTATTAATCGTATGTTTCTTTCGACTGCCATGATCGATCACAACGATTTAGTCAATTGTCTTATATATATCAACTAAATGCTAGTATTTCCATTACTGTCTGCATAACGATGACTTATTCAAATTCAGATGACACTGTGATAAAAGAAAAAATATAATTCGGATGAAACACTCAGTATACTTTTCATACGCACCTAATCGATAATAAACGAACAATAGCTACAAATGTTTAAACAACTGTTTTGCCATTTACATTATCTCTAGACGCATGTATGTATAAATTTACAGATTGATTTCTTGATTTTGGTTTATATGTAATAAGATACTTTCGGATAAGGAATGAAAAGAACCATGTTTTACGATGAGAATTAATCATCTAATTAACCTATCTAATATTACAACTAATGATGAATGTAAAAAACTAGATTGATAAGGAATAAAACAATTATTAGTCATAATTAACAATAGTTATCTTCTGACAAGAGAATATATTTTGAAATATTATGGTTTAGAATAACTTTACTCAGGAACCAGCTAGTTATTGATTAATCTTCCAGAAAACGGCATAACATAACGCCACGTGATGCCTTATTAGTCAATATTCTCTGACATTTCTGATAAACTGTAACAAAACTGTACCTGAATTGCCAGCTTCGTCATTAGTTAGTTTAGTCGAATCCTTATTGTTAATGTAACTATTTCGTGTTCGATTGACTTTTTCATGTTCTTACTATAAAAATCACTGAAAAATATTGTTTTACGACCCATGAGTCAATTATAAACGAAGTCTAACTAGGCATTAATAATAATTGAGGTTGTTTGGAGTTGTCGTGATTCTGATCAAAACAGTAAGAGAAAACTGACAAGATGCAGAACGTCAAATAATTGATATCAGTGGTAGTTACAAAATGAGACTTAGGGAATGTATTTAATTTATTTATTATTTATTTGAACACATAAATATTGGTACAAGAAGGAACCAGATACATATGCCCCACATAAGTCACGTGATTGGTGTGTCTACTGTGACACTGCCCCTGTGCCCAGACAGAAGCAGGTGGTTTTCTTAGGGGGGCACACCCAAATCTTTCGACCCTAAGGTCTGATCTACAAGGAAGTGGAGCAACATCAGGAGATGCAGTTCATAAGAAAAGAATGAGATTAAAATAATAAAGTGTGTGGAGTAATACTAATCTTGAGACCTTGAAAACGGTGAAGAATGAACCTATCTTAGTAATCATTTGGTGGGACTGTAATTAATGGATGTCCTTTGAGCGACGCCAAATCGACCTTCGAAATCCCCACCTACTTGCTGGGGCTAAATGAGGGTTATAAACCTGTGTGAAGAGTAAAGATTATGATTTAAAATTGATGGTTAGGGTAAGGAATTAGATTTAGGGTTTTCATCATGAAATGATATCAGCTAAAATACTAAAACGCTATTTAGCTAAATGGATAAATGAATTTCGTGTTAAAATCGAAGACCTGTTATCCTGAAGCTGGTTGGTTCGTCCATAAATTATAGTCTCGTCAATCTTCCGTCTGTTAGCAGTTAATGATTAACTGTAAGTTTGTAAATTGCATAGTTGACTAATAATACATCATCCTTTGTTCTCTGAATTGATGCTTACCTCTATAAAAGTGACTGAAATGTGCTTGAATTTGTAAGTATATCCCATTCCACGAGTAAGATTATAAGAACTTTGGATGTTTAACGGTTTTATTACTGAGCCTATTAAGTAAACCTCCCTACACTAACACCGTCCCGGTAACTAATTAATCTGGATAATTTTTAACACAACACTTTATCACATGATAACATGGCCTATGTATTATGATAGACTTGGCTGATCTAGCGTATTAATTATCACTTTTGTTGTTCTGTGCTCTCTGTTTTAGTTTTACTTTCCTTAGTTGTAGATGATTATAATCAGTTCGTCATAGCTCAGGAAATGACCTTAAATGCACGGTTCGTACATCAACAGGATGTTATTATTATTAGAAACACTATCGTATACATTAACTTACCTCACGTTCTTTTTGACGAAGTCGCATTTGCTCTGCCTCAAACTAAAATATAAAAAAATGAATGTGTTTTTCAATAAATAGATAAGACTAAGAATTTTTTCAAAATTTGTGAAAAAGAATCTGAGTATCATGAAATATTATGTCAGTATACTATTCAGTTAAGAGAGTACTTTATGTTGGAAGTTTCAACATAATTCACAGAGTAGTCTAGATTAGTATGTTCTCATATATATAGCGGTTCTTCCACACAAGCGTCTGAAGTTGTTTTCTTGTTTAACTTAATACGAATTTTGTAATCAGTGCTTAAGAAAATAGAGCAATTAGTTGAAATATTCCAATATTTAACCAGGGGAAACGTTTAATGAAGGTGTTAAATCTTCCAATTTTTATGATACAGTTTTTGGAAAACCAGGATGTTGCGAATTGTCATCTATTAAGACTCATGCAGAATAAACAGTAAAGGTATGTTACAAACACTCGGTAAGTAGATATGAGAACATCTAAAACAATAACGATAAATTATTGTTTGCTAGCATTGAGTAGAAACGATTATGCAAAACATATCAAACGATTTTTTTCCATGTAGATTATATACAACACTTGAATTACCTTTATTCCTAAGTCCTAACCTTTATCTTATATCTCTAATCTCGAGCCTTTAATCTTAATCCTAGGTGCACAACCTCTAATTATAACTGTAAATCTCCAAGCATAGCCAGGAACAGTATGTTTCCTCCTGAGAATCTATTCGATAAGACAGTTCATTCGTAATTTTGTAGACGAATTTATATGTCGTTTTTTCAATTCACAACCTGTAGAAGGATCGAAAAAATCAATTAATTCACTTTGTATTGTTTGCTTGTATCTTCCCATTGTTGCTTAGGAATGCAATTGATCCACCTGCACAAGCAGATGGCTATCAGGGCTCAATAGCAGAGTAGATAACGCGATAGCGTTTGAAGTGGCTGGTGGTGAGTTCGAGTCCCGGGGTGAACACTAACTGTGGGGTGCAAGTACATTCAGCTGACGAGTCCCAAATAGGACGGAACGCGCGTCCCGGATTCTACTACTAGCCACTATCCATCTTTTCAAATTGATTACTTTAACAAAGTCTGTTTACCTAGTTGCAACATTATTATTTACTTTCCACAAACTATTCATTTACAAAACTGCTCTTCAATTAGTTATAAACTGGATAAAATTCGTCATGATTATGCTACACGCCTATTGAATACTTTGTCTCAAATAACTGGCATTTCTCTTAGGAAACTAAATGTCGTAATCCAGTGTTCTCAATGCCTTTCTATTTAGTAGCACAAAGAACTATTTTTTCACAAAAATATTAGAAGTTTCTAAATGCGGTAGGATTGTTTCACCATATTTAAAATTTTTTTCTTCATTAAATTGAAAGTTTGAGTATGACCGTAAAGTCATAATTGTTTATTACTGTTGACACGAGCCAAAGATACAGTTTTTATTAGATTAGAAGTATGACTTTATATTATTTAATATAGGAAATTTCAATTCCAATTTGCATATAAAATGAACAAACTACTAATCTTTAGTCTAACAAGTAGCATTGGATAATGATAAAAAAGTCGAATAAATGATCCAATAACTCTATTCAACAAAATCTCTCGAAATAACTTACGCCTTTTTCTTCTTCTTTCAAACTTATATGACGATTAATTATCATGGGTTCTTGTTTCTAAATTAATCAAGCAAAGTAAGGTGAAATTAAGTATTATAAATTTAGACAGATTTCATCACAAAAAAGCTTAACAAAAGCCATGACTAAGATATACACGAAAATCAATTCTCAGTCATCTGTTAGTCACTAAATACCATCGGGATCATTATAAAACAGGAACCTAACTAATGGAAGGTTCATTGTAGACCACTTGAGGAAAAAAATGGTAACACAAATAAATTGGCCGGTGTCCTACAGAGACTTCGTTGTCAACTGAAATCCATAAAGTACATCATGATGATTGAATAATCGAAATGTTACTATATGTATACGAAAATTCCTGGACGTACTATACAATCATGCTAATCACTGATTGATTAGTTGGCTAGTGAATATAGTCTTCAGTGATGACTGACTTCTTTTAAGCAAACTTCATTTTGATCCATGTCCTAAGTAATTCTACATCATGATTCATTTAGCTAAATATAAGTTTAATGATGTGTTTGACAGTACTTATTTTCTTGGTACACTGAGTTCCGTTTATATAAATCACGATGATCAATATGAAAATAAAATATGATTTCGACAGAATTGTAACCATTAGTCACGTAGTTTTGAACCGACGGTTTTATTGACTTGGATGTAGAATGTGGTCTATGAAAACAGAAGACATGTGTAGGTTATTATTATTTGACTGTATGCATCTTACCATAATCTCTGCGCATGTTGAGCACAACGAGTAAAAAATATTGAATTTAAATCCAGGGCACAATGGAAAGTTATATCGGTTGATAAGATTGTGAGTCCCTACCTATTGAGTGGGGTAGGACATGTCTTAAGTAAGCCCAACAACTATCTAGCGTGCCGAACGATGATGGATCGCATGGGGGTATGTTGAAAGAGAGCCAGAAACGGTCAAATAAAACGTAGCATCAGTCCATGAAGTTACAGACACTTGGTTTGAGTCACGTTGGTAGATCTAGACTAACCGGTTGGGATCCTCACGATTATCATACCAATTGGTTCGAGACATCGCATTACGTCACAGAATAAATCACAGTGATGTAGATATACTCGTTCTTTGTCTCATTATAGATCCAGAGTATCAAAATTATTTATTGCCTTTTATTATACAAATTCATTTTTCTCAAATCATATTCTGTATCCCTAACTTACTACTATTTCTACTACTTAGATATTAATTTTAATAATTTTATCTTCCTGTGCTGACATGACGTTGCACTTGCACTGATTCACATAAGTTCCAAGTTCAACGTTACTTATAGGTGACTAAGTTATTAATCCAGTAACGCATGAAGCCTAAAATATAACAAATGTTTAAAAATGCTCCTCAATCACCGAGACACGCTATTTGATTTTCCTTACCTAAATGATCTACAAAAATTATTTTTTCTTAAAAATTCATAACTGCTCAGTCAGATCTTATCGTAGTTCATGTCGACTCAAAATTCGACAGAGATTAGCTAGTAGTATAGTGGATTTTTCAAGTGATTTCCTGTAATTATTATTATTATGTAATTTAAATATATTTGAGATAGTTGAGATCATGAGTCAATTGCAGCTAGACCACTATGGAAAACCTGGAAACACTGGACGGCCATCTCGTCCTATTGTGAGACTCCTCAACTGTGGGCATCCACGATCCCGCCTCGCGAAATTCGAATCCAGGATCTATCAGTCTCTTGCGCGAGACTGAAATCACTACAATTTCCACAAAATCCCTCCTGATATTTTATATAGTAAGAAAATGCATTTTAAACCAATTTCTATCTTAAATAATTTATTATCAGATTATAGTAGTTATCAGAAAACTGATTATTCAGAACATTTGACCATTATTGTTCATCAAATGAAAATATATATATGCATATGGGGTAGTGGATCATAGTGTTGATGACAGTAATAGGAAATAAAAAAAATGTTTGCACTATTATTAAGAGAGCTTGTTAAGAATTGTATGAATTTACGGAACATGGATTTAAAAAATAGTCTAACTGAATTGATAACAAAATAGTTATGTCATTAGTAAACTAAATAGATAATTAGCAAAACCGTTAATCTAATGTTAAGACAATAACATTAATGAGAATAGAAATAAAAATTAGATATACGCAAAAATGATTTATCCGATGTAATAATTATTGTTGTAATCTAATGGTAAATGAAAGCCATGAAGAACTAGTATACCTAATAAATGATTTCTGTATCCACTAACTTGGATGGAAAATACTTGCCAGTATTGCTTTTACTGACTTTAACAAAGGGATATACTCAAACTTAACTATTTACTGACAACCTTCTTAGTCCACTAAATGAAAAAGCAAAGTATTTTAAATGGACTTAATTATTTACAGTCGTGGTAGAAAGTATTTGACAGGACAACTATAAATTGTCTAGGTCGTTTGTACAAAGAGTTGCTCCTATAATGACAGTTTAATTGGTAAATATATATGGAAGTGGTCTGATTTGGGAGTTCATCCTTTTCCTGTAATGACTACATACATCATTTGGTGTGTGTTTATTGTAAATTATTCCAAGCTTTCTATTATCTATTCGCTTTTCTTGGAATATAGTCAACATTTTATTTATTAATGATTAATAATTTCCAAAAGTTACTTTTGTTGAAACAAACTTCAAAAATTCCTTCGAATCTTTATTTTTATTCATGTGGTTTAAAACTTCTCTTTTCGTTCACACAAGTAACTGTAAAAGCTAGTGAGAGACTAGTCAGCTATTTTCAAGTTATAACTTCTTATTACGGACTAATTTAATAAATAAAAATAACCAATGAAGTTAACTTACTACTTCTGGCTGCGAGAGATACATGTCCAATGAAGACATTCTTTGAAATATAAAAAAAGGGAAAAAAATCAAAAATCAATATAGACCGATCAAAAACTAAAGTCAATAAAGCAAAGTTATAATATCAGGAACAAAAAAATGATCATGAGAAATGTGTAAATATTAAAATGATTTAATTAAATTCATTCTAACGGTATCAATTTTTAAATATTTTCTGAGATTCATCAATTTCATTCTTCAGGTGTCTTCAAATCAACTAGTTAAATAGATCCATTTTGAACATTTAATTTATATAAATAAATCACTTAAAACTACGCTTTTACATTGACTAAATAGTTTGTTTTCACATCAACCAACAGTGATCGATCTAATGCTTGATATCATCTTTCTATTTCGTTCAAACTTTTCAGATATTTGACGTAAAACATTTCCCTGTACATTGTTGCAAAAGCCTACGTGAAGATTTTACAAAAGTACTTTCTATACACTTGTTGGATAGTTAACAATAAATGATACATTTAAGCCTTTTAACAGTAATGGTCAAACAAAAAGCATCAAATCCACTTTGTTTTACATGAGCCGTAGCCCTCAGATGTTTTTGTATACGGAAAAAATGTGGTAAATTTCTCTCTACCGTAATGACAGTAAATGTTGTAAAAGGATGTTAAGCACTACAAAGTTCCAATGATTGGTGGATTCTGCAGCATTTACTCAGTGAATCAGTTCTATCCTAATGACGTTTTTCCAAAATGTAATCACTTATAACTACAGTACTAGTAAACATGAGCCTCATTGACTCTGTAAAACTAGACGTTTCAGATAAGTATTTAGACGCGGTGGTTTCTGTAAAACATGAAGAACCATCGTTTGATCTCGCACACGTTTATGGATATACACTATTGAGGTACCCGATTCTAGAATGAAATAAATGTCTAACAGCCCTTAATGGTCCTCAATCCCTTAAATTTAATCGGTCATTTATGAAAATTAGACAAAACACTGTAAATTTTCATATTCATGGCAGTAGCGAAACTGATTTTTGTAGAATATATAATCTTTAAAATTGAGTGTTGAATACTATATATCATACAATAATCTAAAGTAAATACAAACAATTTATAGATATCTTCGAAATATTAACTAGATAATACAAATGTTCGTTATTTATTTTACCTGCGTTGTTCTGTTTGATCGTTTCCACTAAGAAATCGACGCGCGATAGCGGCTTCTTCTTCAGCTGTCATTACATCGTCGTCATCATCATCACTGTTAACATCATTTTCACGTCCATCCATATTGTCACCGACTACTTGTAGTATCGGTATGGATGGTTTATTTTTTCGTCTGTCATCATTTCCATTGTCTTCAATCGAATTTACATGAATACTTGGTATAGGCATGTTTATTTGTTATCGTGTTTCTTTCTTCTTTTGATCAGAATGAGAATTAATTATGGTTATTCGCATAACAAAATATCTGAAATAAAAAACCAATCAAGATAACATTGAATTACGTAATTACATATATTATTTTACAGTCTGAATAAAACAATATTATTACTAAACAATGTCTAGCTTTGTTTTTTGCTGCCTGAAACTCATGATAAAAAAGTACCATTGCGGTGTTTAAGTGACTTCAAAAATTGTCTGTTTCTTTAAAAGTACACAAAGTTTTTAATCATTTGATTTCAGGTTAAAACTCTATTAAGTCAGCATTCATAAAAAGGATTATATTTGAAAGTAGACTAACCAAACGTGATCAATAAATTAGATTAATCGAAATTTGAAGAAATTTAATCACGGAATGTAAAATGATATCTAGAAACTGAATCCAGATAACAAGCTCCGTTTCATTCATTACTAGTAATCAAGATGTATCAACGAACTATTATAGGCTTTTTCCCATAAACGTTAACTCAGTAGTGATTGTCACTTCAGATACCTAAACTATGTTCATTATTCTATTGAATGGTATTAATTGTTTCCTGTTTCAATTAGTATCTTTAGTTTTTGTGCTTAACAGTATCTAAACTAAAACTGTGATATAATCCATACAATTCATAATGGTAATTTCTCATCTGATTTCTCAACACTAACTATTTACCTTGGATCTAAGAATAAATCAACATTTACTAATTGTTTTTGAAAAAAAAGACAAAGGTTTTTACTTTCTGAATATTTTTATTGAAATAGGTTTACTCTTGAAGATTATCCATGTCATAAAAACCGAATAGTTATTAGTTACCATCAGTTTGAAAGTTTTACCAGTATGCAAAGATACAAACTAAGATTTCATGAGTAATAGATTAGTATATTTGTCACTACATAGAATCACTTTGTTTAATCTTCCCTATACTGTTGTATATGAAGATATGTTTCTTTTGATCTATTAAGTTATTCAATAAGAGTAAATATTCAAGTTACTTTCCTTACTATTTCTATACAAAATTTGAAAGTAAAAATAGTGAACACCAAGAATATGTTAAAAACAATATTTAGAAACACCGTTTTCGTACGTTTATTTTCTTAAAACAAAGTAAGTTACTTTTTATATGTTTATGTAGTTATTTAGAGATAAAACGTCATTAAACATGATTTACTCCAATCAGTCTTGAAATAAAAAACAAATCTGTTTTTGTAAGAAACAGTTAGTAAACAAAAAGCACACATTATGACAAATGTCAACTAGTCAAAATCACCTGTATATTATGGAAAAGATTAAATGAAATGAGGTAGGGAAAAAGAAAACTTTCTTTAACAAGAAGAAAAACAAATAGTTTCATCATCTGAACAATTAATCAGATTATTATTATTATTATTCAAATCAGTTAGTTAGAATCTAAGATACATTTTATTGTCACTACTGTTAATATTGCAGTTGATGACTACGACGACGACGACAATGATGATGATGATGATGATGATGGTGGTGGTGATGATGATGGTGTTGACGACTATAATAGTCTAAACATTGAAAAGCTATTTATTTACGTTAGCTTGTAGTCGATTTGTATCCAGTGAAAAAGCATCAGCATTAGTTTATAAAGAAATTCTCTGCACTTATGGACATACAGATGTAATTTTTAAATTTTCACGTTATATTTATTAACATCTTGTTAATTATTCTAACTCAAAATCCTCAAACTTATTATTGGTAAAGTGTGATATTAGAACCTTTATTTAAATATCTTAGATTCTATAACTGATGAGTTTATATGTGAACATGGTTGACTCAGCAGTTAAAATAGCTATTCGATGTTGCCTGGATTTGATTAAGTGTCAAGTAAAAATCCATTCAGACGGATTCTGGAATCGTTAAATTTATTCGGAAATTTATTGCCCAACACTTTAAATTAATAAAACATTTATATAATACTTTGATATCATTGTTTTGTTAATTAATTCAGTAGTAAATTTTGTTCTTTCCAACGATAGTAATAAGTAACTTCAAAATATTTAATATACAACCAGGTTGTAATATAAAAACTGGTATGATCTAATCATGATTTCTATTAGTTAAATGTAATGAGAGGATGAAAACAGACGAAAATGATTTTGTCATTGTATGAGGTTCACTCCATATTCTTTATCTTGAAATAAACACAGTGACTACCGGACAATGTTATATTCTTTGAAAAGCAAGACGTATAATGAATTATTCACCTGTGGGGTTACGATTGTGTACTCCTGAAGAATCATGAACCAGAAAGCAGGTAACTGGTGAACTAAATTTACTCAATAATGATGTTTTTGCTAATGCTAATCACTAATAAAATCTATTTTCAAAACATTTTTGTCAAGACAAAGAGAGAAATGATTTATAATTTAGTATTAATGTTTCACCATACTGAACTTTCTAGCTACTGATGTTTCACCTTTTGGATATATTCCATAGGTGTAACTAACTTCTTACTAAAAAAAGACAAGTTTACCATTCAGTATCCAAATTCTATCGGAAGTACATATTAATTACATATGTAGTTATTTTCTTGTACATCTTTCTTTGTATTAAATTCCTTAGCTGACATTTTAACTTCTTTTGTTGATTATAATGACGTGAGGGCATTACTCAGTAAGATAAATTATTGTTATTGTACACTTCAGTATTCGTATTAATAAAATGAGACTAATTTTATAGACAAAACTTTATTCAAGTTGTAGTTCCCCCTTTACAAGTATCTTCATCAACAACAAAACAACAATACTGATCAGCATAATTTATTTTAGCATTACTTCGACATTTCTGTTGTTTTGTTAAGAATAATTATTGACTTTCCAAAAAACATAAAAGGTATCCAGATCAATATATTGATTGATCGAATTAATATTGAATATCATAAAACATTATCAATACATTACTGTTTTAATACTAAATAATCGTTCATTGGACAAAATTACATACAAACTACTCTTGAAAATATTCAATTTCATAAATAATTGAATGTTTAATAGATTAGAAATTAAAAAAACATTCTTGATAATTAATTTGCCTTACATCAGTAATGCTGATATCAAAAAGAAGAAAAAAAGATCTAATCATAATGATGATTAAAAAAGCAGAAGTTAGTTACTGTGTAGTTTTTTTTTAAAAAAAAATCTGATCTGATCACTGGACAAATGACAGGAAACACATTAGACTTTTAATAAACAGTCAACCTTATGTTTTTTCTATAAAAATACCTTTTTTTCTATCATTAAACGTTAAACATTTAAACAGATAGGGTTTATATCAGTAAGGAGGAGTAAAACGAATTAGATTAGAATATTGATACTTGACAATCAATATGTTAATGGAATATCCTTAATAATTAAATAAAAGGAATAATTATGACAACTTATAATGTTGATTATTTTGTGTTTTATAAATTGGTTAGTTGATTTATGTATGGTGCTTCTATTGTATTTCTGGATAATATAATCAACATTTTTCTTTATAAATGAATAACAGATTGTTTTGTCAATATTGAAATTTTATTAATTAATACATAAAATGTTACTGTTATAATCGATATAACTCAGGCTGGAGCCCTTCTTAAGCTACTGCCGGTCCCGAGTCCGGATAAAGGAAGAGGGAATGTGGTTAGCGACCCTATCCCGTAGAAAACTGGCACGAGAAAAAAACGCTAACCAGAAAAAATGATTGAACCCATTTGAACTCTGTTTTGGGAACCAGAAGGTCTTCATTTAGAAGAGTTATGACGCCTCATGGTGAAAGCCGAGTTTCCTCGGAAGTCACGAGGCTGATGCCCCTTCTGAAAACCAGTGCGACCATTGATTTAGGTACATGGAATGCTCGTACAATGTGGGAGACTGGAAGAATAATCCAAATTGCTGCATTATCGAGATATTCATTGTTGAGTAATTTTGATAGCTATTTATTATTGATGTTATCTGGAATGATAATGCAAGGCTCGTGATTGGATCATTCAACTGAGACAATGTGATATCATCATAAATTTTGCTTCAATTTGAAATATTTCATCAGTTTCAGTTCTTCAAATTTATAAGATTAATAATTTTGTAGTATCTTAGGTTGTTTTTTTCTCAAACAAGACATGATTTGTAGCCACTTATAAATTGAAATCCTGATAATACACTTATTATTATACAGAGTATGGAAGTTATTATGTCATTCAGGAAGTTAATAATAATAAATTATTAATGTGAATATTGATGAGTAATCTGTCAAATTCCATTCCGATACTTTACAATCTAACTGATTCGTATGCATTACTTATAATTATAATGATGAAAAATATAGAATTATATGGATAACACTAAAGTAAATTGTTTACATTAAGACTTCAAAGGTTAAACAGAATATCTCAGAAATTAGAATGTTGAACAAAGTAATCCTTGATTGGTTAGTGAGTTGATTTTATTACAACTGAATGACTAATTTCTAGTTTAGAAAAAAAACTCTAAAAATTCATTTCATATAATGAGGCTTATTTATCGGGTATAGTTTATATTTATATAAATATATTTTTGATTATGCTTTATGTGTCAGGTTATACATTTGCACTCAGTCAGTTAACCATAACTAACATAGAGCTTGGTATATATGTACTTCAGTCCAAGTTCCTACACTATATCGACACAAAAATTATCATTTTGAATATCAGAGTAGTAGAAATAATAATAATAATATCATGAGTAGTGAGAAACCAGAAGCGCAGGCGATATGAATTGAGAAAGCATTCATTTTTGGGATATAAAGTACCAGACAATTTTAAAACAAAAAATCTTAATGAGAAGAAATACAGCTTACTTTGATAGTCAATGAATTAAATATTAACTACACATATTAGTTTGCCCATCACTGATTACATGCACATTCTACTAGAATATCTTAAATTCAAGTGAAGCAATCGTGTAGTATTGTTTGATATTTATGTTTCCTAAATATAATTAAATCCTGATCCCCAAATGCCCTGGTACGGCCGACAGTGAGGAGAGTTAGCTCTCCCTCGCAAA